TACATAGAGATGCGCAGACATATGTACATATGTATGTTTAAGCGTCGATATTATACCGTAGAAAGGGCGTGCTGCGACATGTGTCTATAAATTTCGACAACTTAGTAAGCATTGATCAATTTGAATAATTCTATACGTTGCGATAATTCAATAAAAATGGATAACTATAAACTTCGATGATTCGATAAATTTCAGTAACATGATAACTTTCAACAACTAAATTTTTTATAACTGAATTTATTTCGATTCCTGTCGAAAAATTTTAATAAATTTTCTTACCCTTTGAGTTACCCTGATTCTTATGTATTTCTCATTATTTGTATTTTCGTCTTTATTTTCAGTTTTGTCTTGCACAGAACTTCGATGATTCGATAACTTTCAGTATCATAATAACTTTCGATAACTAAATTTTTTATAACTGAATTTATTTCGATTCCTGTCGAAAAATTTTAATAAATTTTCTTACCGTTTGAGTTACCCTAATACTTATGTATTTATCGTTATTTTTATTTTCGTCTTTATCTTCAGGTTTGTCTTGCACAGAACATGTGATCGATAAATCAGCTTTTGTATTTAACCGACTCTCTTCGTGTTACCCTCCGGGTCACTGCTATCGAGTGCGCTGACTCACATGGTCCAATCACAAATGAGTCTGATTGTTTCCTTTATTAACGTTAAAATTTTTTTGTTATTATTTTGGAGAATTTCAGCCTTGAGAAAACTCTTTGGGTCACGAAATTTTTTTGGCAGATATCAAGTAGCGCTGACGCCACATGTCCCTATATTTCGCTATCTGACTACTAGATTCCTGCTTTTTATTATATTTACCATTCTTATACAAGTTTTCAGCTTTGAGAAAACAGTTTAAAAATGTTAATTAATATTACACCCTCGCTCGCGTCCCGGTGCCAGGTTTCCCGATACTGAAGTTGCTGACACTGCACTAACGTTCCATCACTAAAATGCTAGTCATTCTGAAAATATTGGCCATATTTTCGACGCCAGCTGCTAGACTAAAACATTTTCTCAAAAATCGCAACTTTTTTTCCGAATTTTTGGCGTTAAGATTATAATTGGTACATACAGGTCATATGATTGCTAGAAGGTTGATAGAAGGTATTAACTCACTTTTTTTAACTCCTACAACTGTCAAAGTTCCAATGTCTAACAGTAAATTTAGCAATTAGTGAGTTAACACCTTCTTCAATCAGAGACTTCTATTTTCAATTGGAATTTTTTCGTTTCCTATGAAAAAAAAATTATTTTCCATTACATTTTTTAACCTTGCTATACTGGAAGCTTAAAATTAAATTCGAACTCAAATTACTTTCAACTTTATAAAAATTAATCGCTTGATTATTTATTTGATACAGAATCGATCAATTATGTTAAGGCGTACGTTCAACTGCATATGTATATCGCGAAAATAATACGAATAAGTTAGTACAAAAACTAAAAATTTGGAGAAAAACGTGTCTTCGTTTGCGTATAAATGTTTGTTTGTTTCTTCAAACAAGTGAAGTATTATTGTTATTTATCAAAATTATTTTGTTAAAAGAAATGTCAAATATTAAAAGAAAACTCATTCAAGGAACAACTAGAAATCTTAAGGTTTTACCATCTAAGAGGTTTTAAAGAAAATATTAAAATAATTTGTTTGCTTCTAAAAAACTAAAAATACCAAGCGTAATATTAATGGTAGGTAGTACGTATGGACACGTAAAAACCCTGTAAATTTGGAGAAAATAAAAGATGGCCTTTTTGAGAAATTTTTTTTTGTGTTTTCCAAAACATCGTATTACTATTTATTATTGTTATAGTTTATCAACATTTTTCACTTTTATTTATCAATTTAAAAAAAAATACAAACAATGGGGACAAATAAACTTAGTAGCAAAATTAGCTTGTAGTTTCCAGGTTTACAAAAAAATTACCAAAAAATTATTATTTCTTAAAAATTTCATAAAAAAAGCAAAAGTAATGCTAGTAAATTAAAAAAAACGTGTTCATTTATTTTTCAAGCAGAAAAATATATTTTAATCTGAAGTAAATTCTCGATATACCATCGGACTGCCTGCATAATTTGAAATGGATCCAGTCATAAAATAAAAAAAAAATAGAAGCGTATATGAAATATATTGAGCAAACAATATTTTTGAGTTTTTGACAAATGAACTTGAAAATAAATCTTTAACGATCACTTAAACTTACCGAGAGTAACAGTTCTTAGCGATATGACCTATCAAAATCGACATTCTGTGTTTGGGCCAACCGTCTTTCAATTTATTTTGTTTTATAAATTGTTTCTATGTGCAGTGTCGCCAGCGAGTCTTACTGTAAAGTAGTTTCCTCAATTACCAAATTCATAAGAGAAACATTTAAAATTTTTGAGAAACATTTTTCATACGCGGTTGCACATAGCCAACACCCACACCACACCACCACACAGCAACCACACCACACCAACCACAGCTTTAGTACACTTTAGCTCCGCATTAGACTGCCGTCACTTAACATGAGTCCCTGCAAATAGTACCTTCACTTATTTACATATAGTACACATACAAACATACTGGCTGCTCGAAATTATATTAAAGCGTCCATTTCATTTACAGTACCCCAGTCACCGCCACACGCAATGGAGGCCATACAATTCAATCGAACATCGGTGTTTCTCAAATGGCAGCCACCCTATCCGAATAAGACACGGAATGGTGCGTATAAAAATCGCTTAAAGCCACACACATTCATATACAGAAATGAAATGAAAATCTGCTTCTGGCTAGCTTACTTTCCTATTAGTCCCCATTTGAGATTTATGCAACTCAAAATTGTAGTAGTAGTAGTACTGCTCCTACGAAGTGCAACTTGGCAAGGTTTGCCAGTATTCGGCAAATTTTCATTTCACATTTCGAGAAGAAATGTGTCTGCTGTTTAATTTTTTTTCACAACACACGCTTGTCTTACTCGTTACAACATTTATTGAATTCTTTCTCTCTTCTTTTCATTCTTCTATTCTTTTTTCCCTCTTCTTGTTTGCTTTCGATTTCATTGCAGGCATTTTAACGAACTACAATGTGCTGGTAAAGGGTCTGGACTCACATAATACAACACGCATTTTCAAAAATATGACAATCGATGCCGGCTCACCAACATTATTGTTGGCCAACCTCAGCACTGGTGTTACATATTACATTTCCGTTGCGGCTGCTACAAAGGTGGGCGTGGGCCTATTCAGCAAGCCAGCCGTATTGCGTATGGATCCACGCACACAATCGCTCGATACCGGATATACAAGGTTTGTTATGCGACTAGCAGATTTAAGTCTAACACAAATCACTCTCTGTACATATATGTATGCATGTAAATATATCTCTAAATTTGTATATTCACACATTCATTCAGGTATACATATTCACTAGGATGCCTCACCAAAACCACATATTTCTATAATCCAAAAAAATTTTGGCCTCCCCAAAATATTTCGCTACAATTCGGGTTATTAATAAACTGAATAACTCAAAAAATTCTTCGTTAGTCTATTTTTACTTGAATGCCTATTTGTCTTGCAACTTTCTTTTCTTCCTCTGAGTAGTTTTTTATCTCCTAATCTCCGTATGCTGAATCAATTTCCGTTTCCACTTTCTCGAATACAGTACTGCAACTTGTATTTAATGACTAGGCTTATTGGATTGGATGGAGACGCCTGAGGGTTGGTTTCCCCAAAAACGAAGTTATTCCTGAGTTGAAGCTTCCTTTCTGAATCATTTTGAATCCTCGACGAAAGTCGTCAGGCACCTGAAGTGTATGTCTCCCAATTTGTTAAGGCAACTAAAGAATTGAGACCCCCGTGTGTAAAATTAAGAGCCCGGATCGGAATAAAGTACCAAAGATGCGGTTATAGTGGCGTTTAATTGCGAACTAAACTCTTAAGACTAATTACAATTATGTTATACCTAGTAAGGCTGTGTCTTATATCGTGTTAGGTGAGAGTGAGTAAGTTAAATGTAAATGAAATGTGTTTGTGTTAGTATGTTAATCTCGTATTTTGTGATTTCTACATCCTGCGCCCCGGGAAATGTTGTTGCAATCTCGAGCGGATACAAATGCTGCACAGACCGCCTTAAAATTTGCTTATTTGCCAGTTCCACATCACATGCTCTTATGCGACCGTCTCTGCCCATGTATGTAGCTTTGACGATACCAATTTTCCACAAAAGTCTTGATTTGAGCTCATCATACACGAATACTATGTCATCTTCATTAATATTGCGACTTGGCCCGTTCTTGCAATGGTGTATGGATCGAAGCTGGTTAAGATAATCCTTGTGCCACCGCTTTAAGTAACGTTTAAGCAATGACTGCTGCAAATACCAAGACTGAGTCAGCGACGCTTGTGTTACTGGTAACTCTGTGGAGTATAAAAGAGAATTAAAATTGTTCAGAAAGTGAGCTGGAGTCAGTGGCTCCAGATCGTTGTGATCATTTGTAATGTAGGTTAACGGCCTTGAGTTGATTACGCTCTCGATTTCCGTCAACAATGTAGCTAACTCGTTCGCTGAAAGTTTGGCTTTGCCAATAGCAGGCTTAAGTGCACATTTGACGCTCCTTACGAGGCGCTCCCAGAAGCCGCCCCACCAAGCTGCTCTCTCAGGTATATATTGCCATTTGACGCCTTTATGTGCCGCCAAACGCCGCACCTCATGATTTTTAAGCAAATCTTCAAGCTTTCTAAGCTCATAGTCTGCACGCTTAAAAGTCTTTGCATTATCTGAGATGATCGTAGATGGTACACCTCTTCTCGACGTAAACCTCCTGATCGCCTCCAGGCAGCTTTTTGTCGTCATATCTGGCACTAACTCAAGATGTACAGCTCGTACAGCTGCACATGTAAACAGCATAATGTACACCTTGTGTCCTTGGTCATTGTTGCCGTTAACATACAACG